AAAGTTATATAAAAAAAATTGTTTCTATAATAGTACTCTTTAGAACATATTGAATTGTAAAATATTAGTTATTAAATAGAGATATTAGTATCTATTATTAAAGAATTCTTGATCATCTAATGGTAGGTATTTTTGTTCATGAAAAATAAAAAATTTTAAATTTGAGTGGTATAAGATGCAAACAGAATGTGTTATAAAAGAGAGAGAGTTATCTCTACAATTTAAAATTAAAATCTATTATTAAAAGATTCTTAATCATCTAATGGTAGGTATTTTTGTTCAAAAAAATAAATAAATTTAACTGATATAACATGCAAACGGAATGTGTTAAAGAAAAGAGAGTGCTTTCTCTACAATCTAAGATTAAGAAAAAAAAAAAGGCAATGAGAAAAAAATATAAAGAAATGTCATTTATTTTTATATTTTAAAAAAAAATGACAAAGAAAAAAAAAAGGGGAAACCTCGGATTCATTGGATTTGAAGGAGTTTAACCCGTACCCGAATTTAAACCCGAAACCATAACGACCGATAACGGCAGTTCAACGAATTGTCTCTCTCTTCTTCTACCTCAGTTCACTCTGCAAATGAACCCTAGATTTCCTTCTCCACCTCGACAATAATGCATTCATTTCCCAAACACATCTCCGGGCGAACCCGACCCTCCAGATCGACGGTCTTGATCGTCTCCTGCCTCCTCCTCTTCGCACTCTCCGCCTTCATCTTCGCCCTCACCGCATTCTTCGATCTCAGTCACGGCAGCTACCGTTGCCGCACGGCCGATCCGAGGTCTGTCAAAGTCGTTTGGGATCGGAAGAGTAATGCTGGTAATGGAAAAAATGGTAATGATGGGGAAAATGGTTTGGGAGATGGTAATGGAGTGAAGAGGCACAAGGTGATGGCTTTTGTTGGGATACAGACTGGGTTTGGATCCACTGGTCGGAGGCGCTCTTTGAGGAAGACTTGGATGCCCTCCGATCGCCAAGGCCTTCAACGGTACAATTTATAAGAAATAATTTATTTTTAGTTTTATTGTGATTCAGACTTTTTATTATTATTATTATTATTATTAAATGGAAAGAAAATGGAAACATTTCCCTGTTTGCTAAGCATGAAAGTGGAGGAAAAAAAGGAAAGGATTTGCATCTATTTAACCACACAAGTTGTCAAGTCAATCTAAACACTCAATTTGTTCAAAGCATTTGTTAAGTTTTTCTTTCCCAGCTTGAGTTACTAATTAATTATTCAGATTCAGTTTAATAGGTTTAGAATCGAATTAGACTTGATAATCCAACAATTTAGGTTCTTTTAATTGTTGTTTTGACCCTTTGTTGAATCTATCCTGTGCTTATAATATGTGGGTGTTCTTCTTTAGTCACACTTTTGAAATGGTATGTATCTGCAGGTTGGAAGAGGCTACCGGTTTAGCTTTTAGGTTTGTAATAGGTAGAACAAATGATAAATCAAAGATGGCTGAGCTTAGAAAGGAGGTTGCAGAATATGATGATTTCATGCTGTTAGATATTGAGGAGGAGTACAGTAAGCTCCCTTATAAAACGTTAGTGCTTGGATTAGTTGCAATTTGCAAAGTTTTTGTTTCATTCATGGCTTATCCCGTAAACATCACTCTAGAATGTCTGCTTCAGGTTAGCATTCTTTAAAGCTGCATTTGCGCTCTTTGATTCTGAGTTCTATGTCAAAGCTGATGATGATATATATTTGAGGCCAGGTAATGTGATTTGCATAGCTTATTTTTACTTGACTATTTTCATGCTCTTTTTTTCTTATATTTTCAGTTGTGAAGGGGTGTTATTTTCACCCAATATGCAGTTTCATGTGAGTTCTTAATTTATTTTCAGATCGACTATCACTTCTCTTAGCAAAAGAGCGTTCTCACTCTCAGACTTACCTTGGATGCATGAAAAAGGGACCAGTTTTCACAGATCCAAAGCTCAAATGGTCATTCCTGTTATAATAACATTTTTCTTACATTTAGGAGGCCAAGTGGGGAGAGGACTTGAGCTTAAGACCTGCCCCTTCTAAAGAAGGGGACATAGCTGCTAGGCTAAGCACAGTGGTTGTTGTTTAAATGTTACTATCATTGATGCATATCAGTTAACTGCCTTTGGGTTTTATGGCTTAAGTGACTATTTCTTCTTGATGTTTAGAGTAAAATGTTAGAAGAAAGGATGGTTCATAATGTTAAGTTGATAGTTGGCACTACATTAGAAAGGTTGAAAACAGTAAAGGAACTATATCTTTTGCATTTATATGGATGTGCAGTGATATCTAATAGACCTAGAGAAACCACATTGAGGTCTACAAAGGTAAATTCATAGACATAAAAAACAACATTAATGTTCAAAAAACCTATAATGTCAGTATTTGTTCCCTAAATTCATGCAGCCTAGGTACATCTTTTGCAACATTGTATATAAAATTGTTCTAAATTCATGCAGGTATGAACCACTATCCTCTTTGCTTGGCAAGGAATACTTTCTTCATGCGTATGGACCTATATATGCTCTTTCAGCAGATGTTGTTGCAAGTCTGGTTCCCCTTAGAAACAATAGGTAAGCTTGGACATTCTTACTTGTTTGAGTCCTAACATGCAGTTGAAACATATTTTTTCTAATATGAAACATATTTTTTCTAATATTCTTTTTGTTGCATTTTACCCTTGAACCCTTATCTATTTTGGAGTCTTGGATTAGGAACTTAATTGTGGTATCAGGCTTGAGTTGACCTTTCTGCAAAGATCTCCCCAGTTCAAGTATTGTTTTAGATTTAGACACACGAAATAGATAATGATGCTCATATGTAACTTTAAGTAGTCCAGCACTATTTTCTTTTTTTTATTTTTTGCATATAATGATATAATTTGTTTGAAATTTCAGTTTTCGGATGTTCAGCAATGAGGATGTTACAATTGGTGCCTGGATGCTTGCAATGAATGTCAACCATGAGAATAGCAAGGAACTGTGTGAAGCAGAGTGCACACCATCATCTATAGCTGTATGGGATATTCCTAAGTGTTCAGGTTGGTATCTATTTACACCTGAAAAGTGGCTGAACGAACTGAAAGAATCCATGGAATCAAATTCTAAGAACAAATAATATTTGTTTTCCTCCCTGGACGTGCAACAAAAGGATAAAGAAAATTAATAGCAACATTTTTTACTTCTCAGTAAATTTACTTAGGATTTTCAAGTTTTAGGGACTTGATTAGTCAGGTCCAGGATCCTTAAAGACCTAGTATTGAAATAATTCAAAATCCCTCTGAATCACATAGCAACTTATGCCATCCGTACTACATGATCCTTGAAGCCTATCAACAAATTGATAGACTGCCACCAAGTGCTTTTGACTGAGACTAGAGCAGGACCTCCAAACTTGCCTTTCTTTTGTGACCTTTTCTTATTTGATGCCATTCAAAAGCAACTGAGCCTTCTGAATGAAGACTCGCTTGTCTGATTTGAATATGAAAACAATAGGATAAATTTGTTTTGTTGTAATCTCTAGATGCTTTGTCTGTAAACAAAAAATTTCAGCTATTTGTATTAATTTTTTCAGCAAGATGCTTGAATTTTCATCAAAATGGATATGTATATATATATATATGAAGGTTTACTGCTATTCTCTTTTTGCAGGTCTATGTGATCCAGAAAATAGGTTACTAGAACTTCATCAGAAGGAGATCTGCTCCGGTAGTCCAACACTGGAATCTGATGGATAGCTTCATTAATCTAAACTTCATTAAACTTGAAGAATTTCTTCGGAAATGACTTACTCTTCTGGTAATGTCAATTCCTTCTACTTTCTTCAATCATTCCAACCAAAAATTTCTGTTTCAATCTTTCATGATTTTTTCGTGTATTATATCATTTTTTACCAAAGACGCTTACACCACTATTCTTTTAAAAACTCAAAGTACTAAATCTGATGACATATGTAAACTATTGCTGGAAAATTGCATTGAATTTTCTAACTTTGCCAATAGATCATACTAAAGAGCATTATTTCTAGCTTGTGTGAATCAATACGCAATGCACGGTTAAGTGCTTGGTATTGTAAATGTTTGAACTCCTTTTCTTGATCCCAAGTCAATATCCAAAGAAATTTGTTCTTTAATTTTTTTTTTCTTTTTTTCTTTTTTTGTTGTTCTTTTGTATTATTACATATTCTCAATCCAAAATAACACTAGACAGGGACAGTTATAACCAAGAATTAAAATTTACAAGCAAATTGGTGTAAATTTTTTTAAAAATGCACGGTGCATATGGGCTGAATAGAGAATAAGAAAAAGAAAAAAAGACTAAAATAAAAGAGAAACTGGAAATAAAGAGAGAGAAATTAGAACAAAGGTTGAGAAAATAGTTTCAATCAGAAGTAAAATTGTAAATTTACAATGATGATGTAACCTTAACTAAATATATGCATATAATATCATATGTGATTTTTTAAATAAAAAGAGAATTATATAGTAACAAATTATGATTATAAAGTTAGAAGTTTGTCCATTGTGAGAACGGACCATGTGTTCAATTTATCCAGTGCTAAGAAAAATAAAATATTTCTTTTCCTTTGTCTTCATATTTATCCTTTCTTGAATTATATATTTAGACAATAAATTATAAGAATAATATTTTTGCAATCTATTTTGCACAAATTACAAACACCAAGGGCCTCATAATCAGTAGGGTCAACTCCTACCCACACAAGAGCCCTATTGATTGTGTTTATTTTCTATTCCTCTTAAATTATATATATATATAAATAAAAGAGAAGTGCAGTTTGTTTTATGCAAATTACACTTTACTTATCCGTTGACTAATATTACAGCTTATTTCTCCATCAATAATTAACCATTTTGCAGTTCATAACTCCACATAGGATAGACAACAAAACAACATTTTGATTATATATATATATATATATGCAAGTGCAGCAAACTTTTTGAAATGGGGCTCGAGCTAAAAGTTATTGTTTGATTAATGAAAATTTTAAAAATAATACTTTTGGGGAACCTAGAAATATGAATATATAAATTAAAACAAAGCTAATGATTTAGATTGATTGGGCTCAAAGTTAAATCAAAAACTATAGGAGTGAAGTTCAAGTGAAGAATTTGAGAAGTAGCTAATGATTGCTTATACAAAATGGGGGATAAAGAGAGATAACCAAGAGAAACCAATTAATTATGGGCCTCAAAAATGATTGTTCTTTTGATTGGGCCATATAATATGTGAAAAGAAACAATCATTGCAAAGGCCCATTTTCTTTTTCCTTTTTTTTTTTTAGTTCTTTCATTTAGCCAATCTTGTGGTTAGGGAAGAACGTGTGGCCCATTTTGATGGGCCCTTGACGGTTAGTTCTTTTTTCTTTTTGCCAATGGGAAATACTATTTAAAAATAACATTTACTATGAAATGTTTGTATGAAATGAGAACTTAATGGTGACATCCAAACACAAACTTAATCTTCCTAGTGGGGTCTTGGAAACATTGTGTAAGAGGATCTAACAAAAAAGATTACTTTATCAACCAAGCACATACGTTTCTTATATTAGTGTTTATCCTCTCGATTTCAAAAAGAAATTAAAAGAAAAATATTTTAAAATTATTTCATTTTATTAAAACATTATGGAAAAAATCAAAACAAACTCATTCAATTTAAAAATATGTTATTTTAATTTTTTTAATAAAAATTTATTGAAATAACATAATTTTGAAGTATTTTTTCTTTTAATTTTTTAGAGTTTTAGATGACAAACACTTAAATATCTATAAATACGTGTATATGTGTGACACTTGTTTTCCTGCTACTGCGGAATGGGTAGCACATGTCTTTGTAGGTCTCAATTTTTTTCAAAGATTAAACATTGGGATTATACCAATACCAAGTAGGTAATTGATTTTTAAGAGAAAAAAAAAATTAAATACTCCCAATGAAGCACCTGGTCCTTCGGTCAAGTGGCCTTCAGGTCACCTTGAAGATGCAGTTCCCCTACCCTTGCCACTTTGTTCAAAAAAAAAAAAAAGACTTCCAATGAAAAAATAAAAAAAGAGGATATAAATATCAATTGATTAGTTTGTGACTTCCTACTTGGCAAAAAAGAAATTAGCCAAAAACGACCAAACCATAATTGGAGGGATCTCAACCCCAATAAAGACAACCAAAAAGAAGAAAAACAAATAATGCTACAAAGGAGGTAAAGAAATCCAATCAATACCAACAAAAATGGGCCAAGGACACAACATACCAGCCTAGACATGGAAGGAACCTCCTACTCTCTCCATGAGAGGAATCCAAGGTGCCCTTTGGCAGACATTAATTCGAGCTTATTCATTTACCACCCTTTTTATGTTTTATGTACCCAATTCTTCATCTGGACCCCTTAAAAAGAAAAAGGGGACTAAATAATTTTATTTATTTATTTATTTACTTTCATGTTTCATCTGATCATGAAGAAAATGATAGGACTGAATTGGAAAAGAAAAGAAAAGAAAAGAAAAGAAAAAAAAAAAGAAGCTAAAATCTGTCTTTGACATGTGTTCAGTTTCACCCCAATTAAAATTGTTTGTGGCAATTTTGGCCATGAACTTCTGACTTTTTCATTTCTTAACTGCTAATTAATGGGTCACAAAAGCACTTTAATTAACTTAGTAATGGTTGGATCCAGCAGTAAACAAATGTCATATTATATGTTAAGCTCAAAATTTAAGTCTTTGAACTCACAATAAAAGAAATTAATTTTTTTAATGTACTAAAACAATATAAGAAATGCACTTAAAGTTATTTGAAGAAAAATTAGTTAAAATTATCTAAAAAAAATTATTTTTAAGGTACGTTAAAAGTTAATTTGAAGACATTTTAATTATAAATACCAAAAAAAAAAAGCATTCTAATTAACTGCTCACCTTTGAACTTGCAAATCAAGGTTTGAAAAAGAAACACACTTTGTCATGCTTTTGGGTAGGTGGCTTTTGTTCTGTTCTTTTTCTTGTACATCATTGATCTTTTCTAGCGTGTTAGATTACCTATCGTACTCCCTTCAATAATATTTACTAATTTACCAACAACATAAAATTATGATTTGCATCCGTATGTATAGAGTCCTAACTAATTAAACACTAGATTTAACATGTGTGTCATTATTAATCTTCAATATTTTTGGATGAAAGAGGTCTTCTTTTTTTTTTTCAACATGGAGGGCTAAATTATCAATCATGTCAAAGTTGAAGCTCAGATTTGAGCATTTTTCAACATTGGAAAAAGATTCGGGTGTTCATGGGAATTAGTCTTGGTGTGGGTTTGACCGTTAGACTAGAGAAACTAACAAAAATTTAATTAGAACTCTTATGGCCATGGTACATAAAATGTTAAGAATACTAATTTTTTATTTTAAAAAAATATTTAAAAATATTAATTTGTTAATTGATTTTAATTTATTAATTAATAAATATTAATTATTTTTTAAGTAATCAATTAGTAATTATAATTATTAATTATTTTTATTAATAAAATTAAATAAAATTAATATTTTTAAAGACAATATTTTAAAATTTTTTATGGCTTTAATATTATAAGTGGTAGTCATAACACCACCCAACCGTAAAAGAGGCTTTGTCTACTATTGTTTACATGAATTTTTGGGATAATTGTTACTTGTTATTCTTTTAATTTATGATTAAGGAGTATTTGAGTTAACAGTTATAAATCTTGAGACAAATCTTTTCTTGAGCAGTTTTAAAATTGCCCTATTGTATTTTAAAAAAATAATTCACTTATTAGGTGTTGGTCTCAAAATTTGACTTTTAGACTTGTCTTATAAAACAACTTGTTTACCAGTGTAATCGATGGATTCAACCATTTCTGATTAATCATTATTGTCACTAGTTTTTTTATATTTGATTGCCAAACTTTGAACAATTAAAACTAACAATTAGAAGACAATTTAGAACTAATTAAATGGATAACTTCTTTAATATAAAATTTTTAAAACGATAACCAAATGGAAGTTAAACCTATTTAATTCATCAAATTTATTAATTTTAATTTAGGGTTGCCAAATTCTCGATGACCAAAAAAAAAAAAAAAAACAGAACCAGCCATAGTACTAAATAAAGCCTAGCTAAAGCTTCCTTCATGATCATTTTTAGCATCAACAACTAAAGTTTGTCGTAATTTACATCGAAATGGCTTTCAGTGGATAGGTGCATTGCATGAATCTTGTTGAGACATAGAGAGTGAGATATCTGCAAAATCCTGGTACTAGGTGGGTCCAATCCTACTAATTTATGTCACATAAGAGATGAAACATGGGAACCCAAAAGTGAGATGATCCTATCTATGCTTTCTTTGCGAGACAGACATTGAAATTGCAATCTACCAAACTATTCACTACCCTTTAACCATAATTTCAAATTCATCTGACATCCATGATCTTTCATCTGTCTGTACCGTTCCCATAATCCCATATATACCATAATAATCAGATTCCTCAGACCAAGACATTCTCCCTCTCCCTTGGCTCACATTTCAAATTTCAATCAAGTCCTAAGGTATCCAAGGAGGTTGAGTAGACAGCACCTACCGTCAGGTTGGGAGTTCAAGCCGACAAGTCCACATACTTTCTTTGATATTACAGAGTTCAAGCCTACAAGTCCACATACTTTCTTTGATATTACAGTGCCAGGTTGAGAGTTCAAATCCTAAGTCTACTTACTTTCCATGAGATAGATTAAAAGTTCTAACCCTAACTTAATTTTTTTTTAAAATTTTATATTGCATAATAAAAAGCGTCTTCTATCCTTTAACTCACCCAACCCCACATGCTATATGACTTGAATTAAGGACTTTTTACTTTCATAAAAAGAAGATTACTATTAACCGTAACCTCACGTGTTATTATGAATCCCAATTTTTGTTTCACAAGCAATTGATTTTGTAATAGTTTTTGCATTAAAGCAACAAAAGCTGTTGTGGAAATAGCCCCATAATGAATCAAATTATTTGCATATATAGATGTGGAAATTTATAAGATATTTTATATGCTATTGAGATGAGAAATTAAAATGTCCAAGAGACATGCCATTTTAGTATCTGTTTGTGCATGTGAATTGCTGGTGAAA